TGATTTCTGTAACAATCCCTTAAACTGTTTATTTCTATGAGTTTTTTGATTGTGTTGTTTTTATTTCTTTTGATCATTGATGTCCTAGGCATGCACACTCTATGCCAACAGGCGTTCGCCCCAAAATTGAGATATGACAAATGGGGGGACATGGGGGAATTTTCCCTATAAACATATGATAATTAGGGTTTTTCGCCCTCATATGGAGTTGCATGCGATCCATACATGTTGTAACATGTTCAGTTGAAAGTATGATCATGTTTTTTGTATTAGTTTACTGCTAGAAAGATGAGTAAATGTAATCTGATTGGTTGTTTGTATTGGTATTTTAAAACTTTGCTTATTGGATTCTTTTTGATGGAATTTGGTGTTATTGTTTTGATTTCTTATATCTTTATTGAACTCTTAAAAGAGTTCAAAAGGGGGATTGAAAATATATGTAACTCTCATATAAGCTCTTTTATTATTCATTCTTACATGCTACTCTTTTCATTATGGGATCATGTTATAATATAAAGGTCTCTCTGTGTTTCTCTCCTGCACAAGCTCTTAAAACAGCTGCAGGAACTCCAAAAGGGAGTGAGACATTGCAGTCTCTTCTTGTACCAGGTTACCAAGGATGTTTCTGCTTATCTTAAGAATTACAAGTTCTTGTGACATGTTAGATCCTGCCTAACAAGGCAATATATATATATATTTACCTTATAAGCTCATTTTATTATCTATGCTATGGAAACTCGCTCAGATACTCAAGGCCTTCACACAAAGATTAATAGCTGTGTATCTTCTCCTGCACAAGAGAAGGGAGTGTGCACATTCCATCTCCACTCAGTGCCTCTCGGTACCAGTGAATGTATCTTCTCCTGTCATGAATATATCAGGATGTTCCTGGTAATCTCAAGGAAACTGTCCGCTAACAAGGCTGTTATTTTCACCTGTCATGATCATTGACGTATGTACATGGCAAACTGCGTATGTAACATTCCTGTAATCTTCAATAAAAATCAGCCGTTTTCAGTAGAACGGCGAGAGTCTGTCCGAAGCATCTGGCAAGAGCAGGTCGCGGGACTTGCTGCAGAGGCTCTCCCCCTCATGAGCGGTGAAACAGTGAATGGACTTCTGATCATTTGTCTCCTCGTTCTGTCAACTTAAAAGGTGTTTAACTCCATCTACTCCGTACCCGTGCTTGGTCTAACGGAAGAGAGACCAACAATATGAATTGTTTTAGAGCCATTTTATTGGCAGAATCTGATATTAATGTAGTTCTTACAAAAATTGGGTCCCAACATGGTTTGTGTGGCGTTGCCATAGTGTGACGTCATAGGCACAGATCCCCTGTCTGGACTGACTGACCAATGAAGAGTGGGCCTCAAGTTAAGACCCTCTCCTCATTGGTCAGTCCACACGAGGTGGGTCAAAGGTTACTCTGGGCGGGTTACGTGTTGTCAGGCATTCAAGTATTGAGTATATTTACTGCATATTACAGTAAAATATTCTGTATGTGACCACATTATGGTGATCCTCGGGTCGTGATGATGGAGCTAGGGCTGTCGCGGTAACCGCAAAAATGAAATATCGCAATATGAAGAAGCCCACCGCGCTGCATCATGGGCCACCGCGATTACTGAACTTGGTTCAACTCAATGATGCATGTTGAGAAGGATGGCTGCACTGGTATAAAAACGAAACGTTACTTCGCTCCTTTGGGAGCACTTTGGTTTTCAGTACGTCAGCTGCTGCGCAGCCAGAGTCCTTGGCCGAGACAGAGCTGCCACCAGCGGCAAAAAAAAAAAAAAAAAAAAAAAAAAAACGCTCGGAGACCTGCTGAAGTCCCGGACAAGCACTGCTTCTGCAACCGTCCCGAAGAGAGTTTGAGCCGAGCTGGAGCTCACTCGCTACCTGCAGGAGGAATGCATCCACCCTAAAGAAACCCCCCTGACATGGTGGAGCAACAACCGGGAGAGATTCCCTTTGCTTGCCAGAGTCGCACGCAAGTACGTGTGCGTTAGTGCAACGAGCGCACCATCCGAGAGGGTTTTCAGTGTTGCTGGAAATGTTGCCACCCCTCTCAGATCCTCTCTCAAACCGTGTATGGTTAACATGCTGGTTTTCCTTGTAGGTAACAAGGACGTGACCGAGCTATAAATCACCGTCATTCGTGTGTATGAAAGTGAAATGATAGTGCGCCCCCCCACCCCCCCCCCCACCCGGCGCGCGCGCGCCCGGTACATGTAATTTTTTATGCTTGATTTTAAACAACTAAACAAAATGGGGACTTGTTTCTTATTTGTTAGATGCTGCAGCCAAATTTGCATTTATAAGTTTAACCTTCTCCTGAATTTTGTTGTTTTTAAGTTCAGTCGGATTCCGACTGTCGGAGAAACAAACGTTACTGCGATCTGTGTTGTTACTGCCCTTTGATCTGCATTCAGTTAAGTGTTATAAAAGAAGGCACGGTAATTTTTAACCTTTTTTAAATGTGTAAGCATTATGTTTAGATAGTACTGCAATAAAAAAAGGGCTGCAATAATATCGCACACCGCAATATTAAGCCACCCTGAATCACCGCAGGGGGAATTCCTCAACCGCGACAGCCCTAGATGGAGCCCTTGAATATTGCTGCCCAGGGTACAACAAAGTGTTAATCTGGCCCTGGTTCCGCCGTCACATTCCCGCAGAAACTGGTTGATCAGACCGGGGCCAGACTACTAGCATGTGGTTTTACAACCACAATGTCCTCGGAAGCAAAAACACTTTTAAAAGGGAGGGAGGAGTCCTAACTGTTGCTGCAGGCGTGTTGTGTGAGAGTGCAGTTATATACTGGTTAATATATTTTTGGGTTCAGTTGCTTTCATGTGGCCTAATGTGAGTCTATTTGGGATCATTGGAATGATCAGCAGCATTTCTTGATGTGACTTTATGGCAGTTGCCCAGAGCATCATCGCAAGGAGGATGGCATTCATTTACTTTTGTTTTATTTGGTATTTTTTCAGTCATTTTTGGAAATAGTGATCAATTTTGATTAATTCACAGCCAATGTTTAATTACATTTAAAAATTAGTTGTTTGACATCCCCAGTTATAATAAATGTCAAAAGATGAGATCAAACAAAACATATGAGAATTGCCCTTAAGCTGTTTAACTTGGAACAAGCATTTTAGGTCACAGATAGATGTAGCTTAGGGTCTCTGTCTATACACCTTATAAAACAATTTAGGTGATGGCATGTTGTTTTTCTGCTATTGAACTGTTTTCTAATAATGTTGTGTTAAATAAAGTGAAGGAAGGAGAGAAATAACGTTTCCCTAGCAGTTTTAAAAATTTCCCCATGTAATCCGGTTAATCGATTAATCGTGTCGAGACCCCATCCGATTAATCGATTATCCAAATAATCGTTTGTTGCAGCCCTACTAGCAACTATACTAGCAACAATACTAGCAACAACACTAGCAATAATATTAGCAACAATACTAGCAATAATACTAGCAACAATACTAGCAAAATACTAGCAACAAGACTAGAACTATACTAGCAACAATGCTAGCACAACACTAGCAACAACACTACCAACAACACTAGCAACACTAGGAACGTTACTAGCAACTACACTAGTAACAAATACTAGCAAACAACACTAGCAACAACACTAGCAACAATATTAGCAACCATACTAGCAACAATACTAGCAGCAATACTAGCAACAACACTAGCAACAATATTAGCAACACTAGGAACGATACTAGCAACTACACTAGCAACAATACTAGCAACAACACTAGCAACAATATTAGCAACAATACTAGCAACAATACTAGCAGCAATACTAGCAACAACACTAGCCACAACACTAGCAACTGTACTAGCAACAATACTAGCAACAACACTAGCAACTATACTAGCAACAATACTAGCAACAACACTAGCAACAACACTAGCAACAGCAGCCACCTTGTTGTACGTGTTGGAGTTACATATGAGGAACACAGTTCTTCTGGAGGAGAGGATTTGGTTTTTCTGTAATGATTTATGACTGAAGTCCCTAACAATATGAACCTAGTTTATATTTATATAGATGTTAAAGTCTAGTTATACTGATTTCTACATTTTTAGGCCGAGTCTGGTCAATACCTTTAAGCCGCAAGGAGGTTGCATCTGTTCGGAGGACATTCCTTTAAGCCTCAGCAGCCTTCCTGTCTTTCTCAGGCAGTTCATTCAGCTACAGAAAGTGACTGCGGGAAGTTGTCTCCCTAGGCATGTTGTGTTCTGTATTAGTTTGTGGGTGAGTCTGTCGAGGCACACAAAGACTTTACACAACAACACGGCTCAGTGGAAAGCCTGAGCCGAGAGACAGAACTGAAGTCCCAGCCTGAACACAGACTAGTGTCACAGCCCAACACAAAAAAACAAGAAATCCAGCAACATGGGGCTGTCACTAAATGTCCTTCTGCTGCTAGTGTGGGACATGTGTTTACAGTTGTGGACAAAATGGTCCAGTGGGACGGCACACGGATCATAAACACAGAACAAGACAATACAAAGGAAGGATCAAGGAAGCGATAGGAATGAGGACACATGGACACAAAACCATTAACAGAGACAGTGGAGTATCCATATTGGATCAGGCATGGGACAGTGTCATCAGCGAGGAGGAAGCAGGCAGCAGAGGGCGCCAGCGTCCTCTGCTGCCTGCGGGTAAACGCATAAACCATCACCGGAGATGGATGATGACAGCTAGAAGACAGATGAGAAATAACTTAAATCTGAAAAAAGTTGTGTTAGATAACAATTCTATGAAATTCAACCAATGAAAGTCAGACATTGCTTTTCAACCATGCTTCAACAGAATGATTAAAAATAAACTTCTGGTACATGATGGACCCCCAGAAAAGATGGCCTAGATAATTAACCCAACACAGCGTGTCCCCAAGGATGAGCTCATCCTGTCATCGGTGGCATGAGATTAAAGATCAGCAGCGACAAGTTCATGAACCGATACTTACAAATGCCCGGTCTGAACCCCGTCGGAGGAAGGAAGAGCCTCATCGGGATGAATGCAGAATGTGAATGGAGGAGGAGGAGGAGCTGCACAAGGAGAGAGGAAACAGACAGTGTTTATGATGACAGTCAAAACATAACAAATAGGGGGGGGGGGGGGGGGGAATCAACCCGAGAGGAAAACTAATATAAGCTGCACCATATTAAGGAATTTATCAGTTTCCTCATGCAGGTGAACCCTAACAATGAGAATGTGGAGCAGAAGGTAATCCGTTGTTGTCAAAGCAAACGGAGTACACATGTATCATCATACCTGTGCAGAGGTCCAGCATATGTTTACAACCCTTCTTCAGCTGATTTCACGTAATAATCTAATAGTCTGACCTTTAGGACGTGGGGTTTGTAAGCCATCATCTTCACAATTATAACAAATAAAGGGAACGAGGCTCTCTCATTGATTACTTTGGCCTTTTATTACTCTCATAAATGAACTTTTGCTCCAGGTTTTCAAGTTTCCCATCTCACCTGTACTGTGCAGGTTGGGTTAGGGTTGCCACTAGGGTTGGCCATTGAGCATCGATTGGAACCGGTTACAACTGTTAGTTTTTCCCAGAATCGTTCAAAGTTTTTCATTTCGATTCCTAGTATGTCGACCGGAAGAGGAATCCGCAGCCGAGCTCCGAGAAAAATAAACGTGATCTGCAAATTGTGATCAGCACTTTTCAGAGCTGATCACACCAGCTGTCTGTGTGCAGCACAGAGTCCCCCGAAACGAGGAATCAGAATCGGAATAGTTCAAAATCAAAAGACGCCCAACCCTAGTTGCCACTGTCAATCAGCTCAATAACGAGTCTGGACAGAGAACCCAAACATAGACTATAATCTGATGAGCCAGTGGAGGAACTCATCGGGGTTTTCATCATCTTTCCTTCTGTGGCTACGGCTCACAGAGAAGATGAGGCTGTCCACATTACCCATGAGCATTTTAAAGTGATGATGGGAAAACCAGTTCTTGACAGCTAGAGCTACTAGCTGAAACATGTCAGGTCAACTTTTACTAAACTGGGTAAGAAAAGAAGTAAAAATGGATTACGGACAAAAACACAGTACGAACACACAGAGTGGAAAAAACCATAACAAAAATAAAATACCAAACTGACCCTGTGGAAAAGTTTACACACCCCAGTGAGTTTGGCCCAAAGCACGTGTCAGACACGAGGCCCGCAGGCCACATTGATGTGGCGGTCCGGATGTGGCCCGCGAGAGTTTCAAGTGTCTTAAAATAGGTCTATGCCGCGTCAAAGCCTACATTCACTATAAACTACATTTCCCTCAATGCATGGCGACTGTTGCCAGTGCAGTGACAGTATTTCGCCAGTAGGTCGCAGTGTATCCACATCCGTGTTTAATTAATGTAACAAGTGAAAAAAAAACTGTCCACACATGATCCCAACATGTCCAGGAAGAGAAGGATCGATGCAGGAGGAATGTGTTTCACCAAAGACGGAACATGATGATGCTTCAAGGAGAAAAACCGGTCTTTAAAGTCGTTAGAATCCATGCTACTAGCATCAGCAGCATTACCTCCTCTGCCTCGGACAAACTGAGAACTCCTCTTACTCAGCGAGTTTACTCAGAAATCAGCTGACTCTGAAGCCCAGAAACTGAGATTTTAACAGCTCAGTAATCTGTTCTCCACCGACATAGAAAGCTCACCACCAACTTCCAGACAGATGATTTAACTCCAGTGTAGCGACACACTCCATCAGTCTGACTCTGTAGCCCCTGCAGCGTTCATCTCTCCTCCCGACACGCTGACTAACAGCGTGGTCTAGCTGCTCAGATGCTCTCCATGTTCAGCAGCACTTATCTCTGTGAGCAGCTGTTGTCTGTGATGAAGATGAACAGAACAACACAGCTCTTCCTCAGCTCAGAGCCCACCCCACGGGTACAGGTGTGTGGCTGGAACAGTTGAGCATTGCAGGAAATCAGAGTTAATAGCTGAGGTACTTTCATTTAAGAGAATTACTATTTTTTATTTATGTTGTTGGCTTGTGAAAAAAGATTTAACCTATTTTAAACAGGAAAGATTACAGATAGAATAGAATAGAATAGAATAGAATATTCCTTTATTGTCCCTCAGTGGGGAAAGCTTGGCATCACAGCAGCAACAACAATCATTACAGGAGCAAAAATGGAGAATAGAAAATAGGAATAAACAAGAAAATATAAAATAGAAATACTTAAAAGATTCAGCAGATAAAAAATAAAAGATTGCTAAATTTTTACAAATTTTAAGGAATAAATGAAATACAAAACTGAAGCATAATAAGTAACGAACACCACTGACTGGTTTTATTTAAAATCTGGGTATGGATCCCATTTCCGCATTCCTGTGGCAACCTGTCCCCCAATTTTATTTGCACCAATGACATTCCACGCAAACACACATTTAGGGCCTTGGGAGTGAGCACACTCAACGGCATTTGGCAAGGGGATCTTTCAGCCTCATCCCGAGTGCCGGTGCCCACTTCCAATTTTAAGCTGCACTTAGACAGAGAGGGCTGTGGGTGGAAGTGGGGTTGTGTGGTTACATCAGCTGGCGTAGGCCAGATGATGCCTGCAGTGCCTGCTCACCACAGCCATGGAATACACCTCATCAACATGCACTAACACTGTATTGGAGCAGGCGGAGGGAGACTAGGGGTCTTAGCACACCTCTGTTGTCGCTTGGCTTCCCAGGGCTGGAGGCTAGGAGGTGGGAGCTGGCCATCATATTGGGGTCTGGGGTGGTGGGATGCTTTGCTCAGCATTGGGCGGGGGTGCCTGCTCATCAGCACCCCAGCAGCAAGGGGTGAACTCTGGGAACCGGTGATGGTTGTACCCTTTGTGTGGCAATACCGGGACCAGAGTGAATAGGGTGTGTATGGGGAGCGTGAGTGGGTGTCTAGCATTCATTTCTGCGAGTCTTAGGTTGTATGTGTGTTTGAGCATGAGGGAAGGAGTGTGTGACTGTGTCTGAGCATGGCTGTCTATGTCAGGTGGGGTCTTGGACTCCTCCCCTCTCCTGGGACTTCTTGAGCTACTACACATCTTCGTCTATCCTCCCCCTATCACACTTGGTGTGGAGTGTGGTGCCTTGGTCTGCCTGAATGTTCTCGGCTCCCGGGTCAGGGGTTTGAGATTTTTGGAGTCTGCCTGATTAATCCGGGTGGCTGCCTGGTGGGATCTGAGTCCCTGAGCTCTGTTGGGTCCCCGGCGGGGCTGGTCGCCCCTGGGTACCGGGTCGCTGGGTTCCGGGCTCGGCCAGGCTTGGGGTTGGGAGGCTGCGGGCAGGCCTGTGGGCTTGCCGCTGATATCTCCCGGGACTCTGCCAGCTGCTGGATTTGGCCTCACGGGGCAATCCTCTGTGCCTCTTGAGGGGGGCAAGGGCTTTCCTGGTTGCAGTCTCCCTGGGGTCCCTGTGCTCTGGGTCAGCTCCTGGATCTCTGGGCCTTGGAGCTCCCTCCATCTCATACAAATCTTTGGGGGCAGATCTGTGGCCCCTCACTCTCTCTTTTGCATGCTCCTATAGAGAAACCTTACATATACAAGCACGTGTACACACAGGTACTCACGTGGTGCTCTCAAAAGTATGGACGTTGGCATTTTAAACACGTCATAAGGCTGTGGTTGGCACTAGATGCACTGTGAGTTATTATCGTGTGATTGTTCAGTAAAACAATGTTGATTTTATATTTCCTCATCAGGTTGACGCAGTGATAGTTTGCTCTTGTTGTATTGTTGTGCGTTGTTTTTCTATTTCTGCAGGTCTAGAAGCAGACTCTTGTTCATCATTGATTGTTTATTTTCGTTGAGTTACTGTTGTCTTTCCATCAGCTCGAACCAGCCTGGCCATGACCTCTGGCATCAACCAGACATTTTCGCCCACAGCTCACTGGATGTTTTCCCTTTACTGGAACATTCTCTGTAAACCCTAGAGATGGTTGTGAATGACAATCCCAGAAGATCAGCAGATTCTAAAATACTCAGACCAGCCCGTCTGGCACCAACAACCATGCCACAAAGTGACTTAAATCCCGTTCTTCCTCATTCTGAAGCTCGGTTTGAACTGCAGCGCATCGTGTTGACCATGTCAACATGCCTAAATGCACTGAGCTGCCAACATGTGATTGGCTGATTAGTTATTGCGTTAATGTGCAGTTGGACAGGTGTACCCAATAAAATGGCTAGTGACTGTATTTACAACACTATTATACATCATTCTAAAGCAGCTTACCTTTTCCTAAGACTTGGCTTGTAATTCCCAAGAGTCTTCAGAACTTCCTGTGGCCATTAGAGCCTAATAGTCTAGAGCAGAAGAAAAAAGAGCTGCTTGTGACAAGAGAAGCATTACAAGTGTGTCTCCAGATTAGCTCTGAAATGCCTGAGCCAGAGGAAGGCATCATGTCATAAAATATTCAGAAGAGAGGAAAACATGATAGCTTGACCACAGACCAGAACCAGGAGTGATGAGAGGGAAAAAACAGTGATGTTAATGGTTTACCATAAAACTCTGACCTTTAAGGACCCACACATGGAGAACAGCTCATTTACCATTACTTAACAGGGCCGCCATGTTTGGCTGCCCTCAGAGAAGATGAGGGGGGGTGAGGAGTCGAGTGAAAGTTATAGGACAACAGAAGAAAGCCGGCCAGTTTATAATGGATTCAGCTCGAAAATATGCAGGTCTGGATCACAGTTTTTTGTTCAGGGGATATGGGGAAGTATTCTAAATATTTAGATTACAGTACCAGGATTAGGCAAAGTAACGAGCACGTTACAAAATACGTTTTAAAGCAGGTTTTCAGAATTCTGCAACTAAATTCTTTTACAAAGTATTCTCCGAAACACTGCAGGGGAACATCAGAGAGAGGTCCAGAGTCTGGGGGCCACAGCAGCAGATGATCTGTCACCTTTGACCTTTAGCGTGGTGCTGCACAACCAGTAGGCTTTGGTCACTGGACCTCAGAGACCTGCTGGGGGCGTAGGGACTGAGAAGATCACCAATGAATGATGGTGTTTGTCCATGTAAGGCTGTAAAGACCAGAACCAGGATCTTGAAATGAACCCTGAAGTTGACTGGCACCCAATGAAGCTGGAGGAGAAGCGGGATGATGAGCGTGTGTTTGGAGGACTTGGTCAGAAGCCGAGCACAGGCATTCTGAACCACCTGTAGACGATTCAAGGAGGTTCTGCTCAGACACGTGAAAAGAGAGTTGCAGTAGTCTTAAGCGTGAGGAGATGAAGGTGTGGAGAACTGTCTCAAGTTCAGAGCGGGACAGAATGGGACTCAGCTTTGCAATGTTCCTGAGATGGAAGAAGGAAGAGCGAACAAGAGAACCGACATAAGAATCCAGGGTGAGAGGTGGGTCAAAGGTCACGCTAAGATAGGGCTGCACAAAATATCGAAAAATTATCGTCATCACGATAACAGGACGTGCGATAGGCCCATCGCAAAGCACGTCAAAAATGGCGATAAATGTTTGGTTCAAACATTTCCATCCGTGTCATACATCAGCTTTTTGTAAACCAGCTCTGTTTTTTACACGGAAGTATTATTTGACCAATCAAATGTAGCCCTTCTAATATGCGGCCAATCAGATGGGTCCGTTCACGTAATACGCCTGCCCCCTACGTAGACCCTTACCCCAAAATTCCACAATCTCCGCTCGCTTCCCTTGTTCGTCATGCTGGCTCAGATTAACGAACGCACTTTGTGCTGAGGTTTCTGGAATCAGCGTTGCTTTCAAACGTGAACGTGAGTCCGCTTGGTGTCGTTAAGCAGCTGATAATAACCGGGCTGACTCCGACACGTGCCGATGAACCAACCCACCGTTAGCCCCAGGCACCGGTTAGCTTCCAGCTAAAAGGCTACAGCACTCTCCTCCCAAGAGGGCCTGGAAAAGTTCCCCCACACATCAAAGTGATTTTTCATTTATGAGCTTTTACAACCTTGTTAATCAGGATGGTTGATAAATATACAATAATTAACAAGAGTCTGCTTCTAGACCTGCAGAAAGAGAAGGAATAGAAAGAAAAAAAAAGGGAAACACAACAATACATCAGGAGCAAGCTATCACTGCGTCAACCTGATGATGAAATATAAAATCAACATTGTTTAACTGAACAATCACACGATAATAAATCACAGTGCATTAAGTGCCCACCATAGCCTTAAGACATGTGTTGAACGTGCCCAAGCCCATACTTTTGAGAGCATCATGTGAGCACCTGTGTGTGTACACGCGCTTGTTTATGTAAGGTTTCTCTATAGGAGCGTCCAACAGAGTGTGAGGGACCACAGATCCACCCCCCAAAGATGCGTAGGAGACGGGGGGAGCTCCAAGTCCTAGAGATCCAGGCGCTGCCCCAGAACACAGGAACCCTAAGGAGACTGCAACCAGAAAGGCCCCCGCCCCCTTCGAGAGGCACAGAGGATCGCCCCGGGGGGCCACAGCCAGCAGAGTCCCGGGAGATATCAGCGGGAAGCCCACAGGCCCGCCCACAGTCTCCCACCCCCTACCCACACCAAGACTTCTGACAGAGGGTTTGGTGTGAGAAGCAAGCTGACCAAGAGTCTCTGACTTTGGGAACCAGACTGTCTGACCCTAAAGCCTGAGTTATGCTTCTCTGTCAGCTCCAAAAGGGAGAGACACGCACACACGGACGGAGATGATTTGCCCTCATACTTCTCCGTCTCCTGGGGAGTGTTGCAAAGCTGTTCCTCGCCAGGTCAACAGAGGGCGTAGCGCTGTTCTGTGGTATCTTGTCATGTATCCGGTCCAAGATAGTGTGTTTATATTGTGTGTGTGTTTTTTTTTTGTATATAAGAGATTTTTTAACACGGACAAATTTGTCTCTCATCCTCCTCCACCTCTTCATGCGCTTGCCACCTCTAACCCACGTTTCCTGCCATTTCTGTCCACAAATAAAACGCTTGCTGTGTATCTTTTCACTCCTCCAGTCACGGGAACTAACCCTAACCCTAACCCCCCAGTCACGGGGGATTAAATGTTCATGTTTTTAGAGTTTTTTCGCGAGGTATTCTTCAAGCTTCTCCGTGGTAGACATCCTTGGCTCTCTTTATGTTTTTGAGGGCGCAAAGGTGGCGGTGTAGACGACAGCGGTGCCCTGACCAATCACAAGCTTGCGTTCTCAGTTTCGACGGACAGATGTTTAGAAAAGAGAGCTCTACTCCGTCCTTGTGAGGGCTCTCCAGCAGGCCCGCAAGGACGGATAATAGCGTTGTGTGTCTCCGCACTGACGCAGACGCAGAAGCACGACTCAGACCCTTACCTCACATTAGAGCATTTTTTTGTGCTGACACGTGTATTTTTCTGAATAACTTTGGCTATGTTAATGCAATTTATCTAATTTTTATGGAGGATGTGTATTTTGGAAGGAATTACAAAAAAAAGTTTGAAAAAATATTCAACCTACTTTATTAAAACGTGGAAATCATTTTGTACAGTTAAGCACATTGAAGCATTTTTTGTGCCATTGACTTTCATGTAAATCATATATTTTTAATTAGCTTAAATATTGGCATAATTTAAAAAATATATGATTGTGCCCATGTTTACAGTCTCATCACAAATGTAAGAAGCAGTTTTTACCGTTTTTCACTACATGGCATACTTTCTCCATATATAGCAGGGCAATGGCTGACCCAGCATTTAAACTGAATGATTTAGCTGTATTTCTTTACCTCTGACTGCCCATTATAATACATATTTTGCACAAAAAAAATGGTTTGTGTGTTATTTAGAGATGCCATACAATAGTTTGCATGTGTGTGTTCTGAATTTTTGGTAATTGTGCTTTTTCAGTGTTCTTTCATAAAATAAGCCTTACTGAATGTACAGAATTAGCTTATTCTGCAAAATAGCATTTTGACATGTGTCACTTTGTGTGTGATTGTGCAGGCATGCGTTTATGTAGGTATCAAAGCACTTTACAGATCTTCAAAAGACAGATCTGTGATCATTATCTGGAGTGGTTGAGCAGGTGTGGGCAATGGGAGTGTGTGTGTGTGTGTGTGTGTGTGTGGGTGGGGGGGGGGGGGGGGGGGCACAGGTTCTCACACTCTGTTGACTTCATGAATATTCATCCAAGGCATGCTATATATCAAAAATCAAAGGATTTTCTGAAAATTTCAGATACTCGTTCACAATTTTACTTTTGCAAAATGTTATTTCAATAAGTATAAAGCATTTGCATGGATGAAAGCTAAGATGAAGGCTGAAAAACTTCAAAGGCGTACATTTGTTTTGCAAAACAAATTCCTGCAGAGTCGAATTTTGTTTACATTCAGTAGGTGCAGCTTACACAGGTGCACCAATTGACTAAAAGTACATATATGAGACTCAGATCAGGATTCATTTCTTTTAACTGCAACCATGAGAAGAAGTTTCAACGTGAATGAAGCCCTGGAGGTGTTTCAGCAGCTTGAAGATGAGGGGAAGTCAGTCAGGAGGGACCGCAGTAGAAGCCGACCGTAATCATCGATTACAACCGCTGCAAAGGGGCAGATGACAACCAACGTTGACAACCAACATAATTGCATATGTAATTTATTTATTCATTTATTTTTATTCCAGCTTGTTGCAACATACAGCTGCCGTCGCAAGACCAGACGTTGGCCCATGTCGCTCTTCTGCAACATGTTAGATGTGAGCGCCTACAATGCCCTGGTCCTGTGGCTGTCTGTGGAACCGGCCTGGAACCAGCAGAAGAGGAGCATCTGCCGAAGGCTGTTCTTGCAGGAGCTTGGGAGCTCCATTGTGAGACCAGCCCAGGCGAGGCGCACTCGCTTGCCGCGGTCCAGCAGCGCTGCAGCTTGGTTGCAGGTGCAGCAGTAAGCAGAGACAGCTCCAGCCCAGGAGCAGACCAAGAAAAAATGCCACCTTTGCAGGGGGAAGAGGAGCGTGCATGCACGCTTTTGCCAAGCATGTGGACAGGCTGTGGGCAAGGAGCACTCAACAGTTGTGTGCTCAGCCTGCAGCTGTTAGCTCACTCCCCTCTGTGTTTCTCTCTCTCTCTCTCTCTCTCTCACACACACACACACACACACACACACACACACACACACACACACACACACACACACACACACACACACACACACACACACACACACACACACACACTCTCTCTCTCTTTCTTTGTTCATGTGCTTTAATAAAGTGTTCAACTGGCTATCTTTGTAAGTGCATTTTTTTGTGCTCTAATGACTTTAACGTGAGTATTTTAGAAAATATGACATCACACAAAAACTACAAAGTCATCACTCCAAGGCTGTGACAACT